AAATCAAGGTATAAAGGGAAATCAAGCTCCTTCCTCCGGGCCAAGGAATTTTAAGGATAAGCTAACTCTCGTCGCCGGCAATAAACAAAACTCCTAAATTCAAACTCAAAGCATGGTGCTTTCCTTCTAACTTGCTTAAATACAACAGTATAGCATTTTAAGCTTTATGTAATGTTTGTCCATATATTTCCTTATTGGTATTTTACATCAACTCTGTGAGGGCAGGCATCTTGATTGCCGTTTTATAGATGTGGCAATTTAAAAAGGTCTGATAAGAGAGGTTAAATGAGTTAGAATTTAATACTTTAATAAAATGAGTTTATAAACATTTAAATGTTTATAAAAGAACATGGACATGATAGAGCAATATTCACAAAGTTAATATCATTCCAGAAGCAAATATTTGACTATTTCTTTACATACAGTAAGAAAGTCTTAGAATCTGGAACACAGGAATGGAAAAGGTCTCAGAAACAAGGAATGTTGTGAAACACAAAGCTTAAATCGTGAGTTTACTATCTATACCCCACAAACATGAGTCCCCTAATTAAACCATACTCAAAAAGGTAAGCCATTTGATTAGAAGCAGCCAAAAGTGGCTGACAGAGGAGAGAAATGGCAAGTGCCAGCTGCAGGTGGACCCCTCAACCCCTGCAAAAAAACAAAACCAAAATGGAAAAGCAGAAAGGAAATTCAAAAGAACAAAATAATTGAGAATTACTATATAGAAAAAACATTATTCACAAAAAAGTCTCAACAAATCATAGATCATAAAGTAACTCCTGTGAAAATAATGTTAAAGTTTTCAAAAAAAAGGACAAAGATGTTCTGAATACTTTGAGAAAGTATGTAAACAAAATTTTAATGAAATTCCTAGGATAAATATATAAAATAAAAGTTTTTAAAGGAACAGTAAAGTTTCATCTATGTGGAAATCAGTATAGCACCTGTTTCTCGAGAATGCCGGATAAATGAGGTGCTACTCCAATGTTACGCAAAGTGCTATAGCATGCTTGCAAGAATACACATGCCATTTGTTAAGCCTGATGCATAACAGTTAAGAAAAGTTCTCCAGATTATAATACATGAGAAAATGAGAGAGTATTTTCTTTGGAAAAGAGTCCATTTCTGATGAAGCCAAAACAAGGCAATGAACGGGCTTCACAAAAATTATCCCAGCTGAAAATAATAAAAAATAGATTCATTGTCTTGAAGAAATATGACCAGGTAATCAATAAAAACCCCATGGAGTTTTGTGGTGGTGAAAACCTTTCCCAGAGTATTGACAAAAATAGATACCAACAGTTTCAAAGGGCTGGTATAGCTCACCTTCAAGTTGCATTTTATTACATTTAATTCCATAGCTGTTTTATTGGCATACAGCTGAACCTCCAAACTTTTAAGTCTGGGTCTCTCGTGGTTTTTGCCTTATTTACCTTTATATCACCATTTTCTGTTACTCTTCTGTGTACAACCTAGGCTCCAGGTGAAACAAACTATCTGATTCCTGAAATTGATTTCACTTTCCCACATCTACTCTTACCCTTTTCCTTCTCTCTGAATCCCATACAAAAACCCAGGCCAAATTCTGCCTTTCCTGATCCATTTCCACCCACGTCCCTCCCCAGCATAGGCAGATTCTTCCCGTAAGACTCATGACATTTTATTGTTACCATTCTTGCCATAATTACCCAAATATACCGATCTCTCAGGCATCTAAAGTGGGTAGGGTGACAATATGTATCAGAATGACAAACACGCGTCAAATGGGAAAGAATATCACAGCTCCACCGTATACTAAATGTATGGTTGATCAAGACACTAGCTCAGAGCCTTAGATTCCTGCCTGAAGAATGGGGATAATCATAACTCACTTTACAGGTTGGTGCTTACTTTATACACTAAGCACAGAAAGGACCAATCAATCAATTCACAAATCCTGCCCCATGCCTCTGATGCTAAAATGGTAGGTATGATAAAGATCATTCAAATTGTTTAAACTTTCCAAATCCTCCCCTCCTCTTTGTACTCTGTTCTAGCTGAAGTTCAGGATGTGTGATCCTTTCAATTTATCATCAAGTCATTAATTATAATAATTAGTTTAAATGACAAATGGAAGGTTCCAGCAGTATTGTAGGCAAAAATGCAGAGATTTGTATTCCTATCAGAGTACACACATAAAGATGTTAAAAGGAAAGATACAACTGTTTCTGTGCCTAACAGGCAGTCAATTTTCTGTGCCTAACACATTCAAAGATTAGAACCTGTGAACATCCACAACATTGCATCATCATGCATACAACTGAAGTGAAGAAAGCAACCCTGGTTGTATCCTTAGAACAGTCTTTTCAAAATTACTTAATGAATTATTGCTCTAATAAAGTTCATCAGAGAACACATAACCCACAATCAACCAATTTTTCCAGCAATGCAAATTAGTATTGAGCAATAATTTAAGACACTACAAAACAAATCCCATAATAGGTGCTTTGTATTACTAGATCCAATTGGAAAAATGTAAGATAATCAGAAGCAAGGGAAGGGGTCAGAGGAAATTTTCATGAATAGGTAAAAAACAATCTTTTCAAAGTTGTTTTATTATTCACTCTTGTTTTAAAAATATGCTTCTTTTAAAAGCAACAAGAAAAAGGAAACATTCCTCACTCAACTGATAACGGCAGGACAGATGCTGGCATATACCACGTAAGCATTTCACATCCACATCTACATACTATGCTGAAAGAATCTGTCTTGTCCCATAATGGAGTGCATCTAAAATTTGGGGTTTAAAATTTAAAGGTTACACATCTAGAAAAAGTTTTAAAAATGACTCCGTGTTAGGGAGCCTTGAAAAACAGACCACATTTATCAGCAGCCTTGTATCACTAGCAACTATCACAAAACTTGGTTAAGTTGAAGGCACTTACCAAGTAGTTGGTGACTGAACTGACATTCCAATTAAGGGTGCAATACGAACACAAAAAGCACCAGTACAATTATATGCACTTTAATGTAACTGCAAAACCATTTAGTAAGTTGAAACAAGTAGGAATCACTTATGACTAGAGACCAACTGTGTAATAATTTTGAAAGTAGCTGAATCTTCTACACTTTACAGTAGAAATGAGGCAACATTTCATAACAGCAACTATAAACAAGGCAAATTATAACATGGAACATCCAGTTATGGTCTCCACATTTATTAAATTGCACTAGGCCACCTTAAGAGATTTCATTTTAGTGCCACAATGGCAAATATTGTGAACACAATTAAGTAATTGGTGAGGGATTTCCTGTATGAAAATAATACTTCCTCTTCTTAAAAGTGGCCACCTATTGGGTTTGTAAATTAGGAGTTTTTAAGAAAAAACAAACAATATACTGGGGGCAGGTTGTATGTTATCCAAAAACAGCAATCTAAAACAAACTCAAGTGTTTAATTATAGGAAGCTTATGCAGTTTCCTATGAGGTTTCAAATAATCATTTTACTATATAAGCATGACTATGAAAAATGTAAGGCTATTTAATGGGAAAATCTTACTGTTAATTACTGTTATGGAAATCTAATGAAATATTTAAAATCATGTAGGTAACTGTAATTCATTTTAAATTTTCTAGAGACCCTATATAGTTAAAATCCTGTCTTTAGGTCAATTCTTGAAGACTTGTCTGATTAATTACATAATTATTAATAATTATGTTGTAATTACTAATTACAATAAAATTATTAATAATTATGATTAGTAGTAGCAACTACAGTAATAACTTACTCTAGATTCAAATTTCCATGAACATTTCTTAAGAAATTTTTATGTGTACTTTTTAAGTTTTATGTTTATTTTTTAGCGTATTAAACAACTCAATAAAGCCATAGCAACTGGAATAATTATTTTTTCACATATTGAGATGTCTAGTAAAATGTCTGAAACTTTATATTTTGTCCTCTGCTGGTTCATTTTTTGATGAAACTTAATCAAGTGTTTGGGTGACAGAGGTTTTCAAGAATCAAGATCTTTGTGCAAGTTGCAACACTGAGGAAATAATGTTAGAATTATTCCTTGCAAGTTTAGTCACAATAATATTGCTTTTTTTATCCCTTACTTGGGGGTTAAATCCATCACAATACATTAATTCCAAATTAATATAGTAAAAGAACCACGATACAAGTTTTGAAGAAATTTACTAACTGCTATCATTCTGGAAGTGATTAACGTGCCACCTTTCTGAATAGCCTTCCTGCATGGAAATGCTTCCCACTAACTACTGCCTACACAGTATTTACAGGCATGCACACCTTGTAGTACATCCTGTTCCACTGGCATTCAATCATTTATTGGTTCATGCTGCACTACCTACAGAACAGAAACAAGTCAGAGCATATTTTTGATAGTTTTGTTTATTACAAAATCAAAAAATGTTAGCACTAGAAAGGATACAAGTTTTTGTCCAACTTTCTCAAACAACTTTACAAAAGCAAAACAAAGCAAAACAAAAGGAAGAAGCTGAGATGCAGAGGTTGACTTATAGATATGGTCACAAAGCTATTTAGCATCAGAACTAGATCAAGACTCTTTCCCATGATATAACTAAAGTAAGCTAAGATTGTCAACTTTACCATGGGCATTCTCTGACAATCAAAGTAGAGTTTCTAGAAAAACTTAGAAAAAAAAATCACCATTTATAATAAATTACCATAATAAACAAGTCACCATTTATAATAAACCTTCGCAATAAATCCTTCCCTTATATCAGTCAGTGGGGTGAAGACAATGAGAAAAAACTTCTTGTTAATGGCACCTCCACCAGCATTTCCACATAGACTTTGTACACAGGAACAGGAACAAGTCATATAAAGAAAGCGCTTATGTTTTTACTTAACACCTGATTCACGAGTCACCTTCTCATTGCTAGGCCTTCAACAGGTGCTTTGTAGTTGTTGCCTGGGAGTTTCAGGACTGGTTGCTCTTAGCTGTCAGAATACCTTGTCATTGTAACCTACCTCCTTGGCCATGTCTGTGTATTTCTGCTTTTCCTTTGGATCAAGAACAGCCCACCAATCAGCTAGTATCTTGGTAGCACCTCGGTTATCAAGCCTGGGGTGTTCCTGACGTACAAGAGAGCGATGGCGTTTGCAAAATAAAAGAAATGCATTCATTGGTCTCCGGGCTCGCTGCTCTGGTGATTCATCATCTTCAGTTTCACCAACATCTTGCTCTAGGCCATCAGCCCTAAGAAGTTGAACCTATTACCAACCAAAACAAAGCCAGATCTTTAACATATTTTGGATAATTTTGATTTAACAGTTAAGTCTTGGTTTGCAAATTGTATTTTTTCTTAGCTCCATTTAAACAACTTACACATTGAAAAAAATATGATTTAAAAAAATCAGCAACCACTGTTGATGGTTGGTAACCAACTTATGATGTATCCTTCTGCTTAGTTTCTATGACAACCTGTGCATGTCTCTATTACAGCATAGATTACATTGTGTTATAATTGCTTACATTTTTTTCTCTCTCACTAAACAGTGAGCTCTTTGAGGACAAAAGCTCTCTTGTTCACTTTTACAACCATAGTGCCTAGCTCAATGTCTGATATAATATTAGTACTTAACTAATTGTTGAATGAATGAATAAACCCCTTCTATGGTTAATGGGCCACAAGATTAACAATCTTCACATAACATATAGGAATAGTAGCTGTGTCTTTCTCTGCTTTGAAAAGTGCCTTTTTCTACAGCTAACAATATGAGAATATTTAACATAAAAGTAAGTCATAAAAAGGTAATATAGACTACTCGATGTTTATGCAAGCACCACAAGTGGAGTCTTGTAGTGTACAAAAAGCTAAACTGATATTTAACATGATTATTTGAAAGAAGAACTACACAATAAATCTTTAAACTTGTAAATTTCAAGCCTTCCTGTTTAGTGAAATGCTCTGGTGATAGGAATAACTCCTCTAGGCTTAAACCTTCAAAATCAATATTGAATCCTCTTTTGCCTACAATTCATTCAATCATTGTTCAAGGACTTCAAGGATTTCTACCAAGCTCCGAATTTGTCCATTCCATCTGGGTAATTCTCATTCCTACTGCCCTAGTACCACTGTGGCCTATGGCCTGGTCTTCCCGTTTTTAATCTTCTTTACAATACTTCTTGCACATGCCTGTCAGGTTAACTTTCTTAAAGCACATCTCTGATTACAGAATCTCAGAACATATGACTGTAAAATATTTTATAAGGCTAAAATGATTCTATAATGCTTCTTGGAAACAATGTAACTATAAACAGAAGTCCAGAATATTTACTAAGCCCATTTTCTTAATTTTTGGTTTTGAAATTAAAATCAAGAAGAACAAGTTGCAGATTAGGTATCTCTTATCTAAAATGCTTGGGACCAGAAGTATTTCAAATTTTCGGATTAGGGATACCCAAGTTATAACCATTAGTCTGCATTATGCAGTTAATTCTTAAACTTGAGTTAAGAGTATGAATTGGAATTCCCTGGAGGTTCTGTTAAAACACAGGTTGTAAGTTCCATTCCCAGAGTTTCCGATTCCAAGGTATGGAATGGGTCCTAAGAATTTGTATCTCTAACAAGTTCCCAGGTGATGCTGATACTGTTGGTTTGAAGAACACACTTTGAGAACCACAAATGTAAGGCAACCATGTTCTTTTACACAATGTTTACTGGGCAACGGTTACAAGCAGATACTTTAGAACTAATCACTGCTTAAACCAACTGGTGCTTTTAACAAGTCTTGGCCGAACATAGTGGCTCATTTCTGTAATCCCAATACTTTGGGAGGCCGAGGCAGACCGATCACAAGGTCAGGAGATCGAGCCCATCCTGCCCAACATGGTGAAACCCTGTCTCTACTAAAAATGCAAAAATTAGCTGGGTATGATGGTGCATGCCTATAGTCCCAGCTACTTGGGAGGCTGAAGCAGAAGAATCACTTGAACCCAGAAGGCGAAGGTTGCAATGAGCCGAGACTGTGCTGCCACTGCACTCCAGCCTGGCAACAGAGCAAGACTCCGTCTCAAAAAAAAAAAGGGAAAAGTCTTAGACTTTTGCCATTAAGTATTGCAAATGCAATCAATTAACAATTAATTATCTTGAAACACAAACAGTACAGAAAAAAATCTTGAAGTCATAGCCAACTATTTTGGAAATATAGTACAAATTATTACTGGGGGTAAAGACTACATATATATCTTCCTCATTATGTATATAATCATTAACAGTAATTTGCATTTTCAAAGGATATGTAGCATTCTGAAACTAAGAAGCTGGGGGGAAAAAGTATACTATTAATATATAAGATGAGGAAGCAATATTTCCCCTTCAGAAAAGAGTAACTTTTCATTCAGTTACTAAATTATAAAATTCTTTGTGAAAAGATGGACAAAGGACCTCATGTTTTGGGAGGGGGAAAAACATACAAACATAAATTTAAAAGCAGTGTTCTGACTGCAACAAGAAACCATCAAGATAAAGAAGCACTGGTGGATGGTTATAAGTGCAAGAAGGCCTCCCTGAAAAAAGTTGCCCCAGCTCTAATCCCAGCATTTTGGGAGGCCAAGGCAGGCAGGTCACCTGAGGTCAGGAGTTCAAGACCAGTCTGACCTACTTGGTGAAACCCAGTCTCTACTAAAAATACAAAAGTTAGCTGGGTGTAGTGGCACACACCTGTAACCCCAGCTACTTGGGAAGCTGAGGCATGAGAGTCACCTGAACCTGGGAGGAGCAGGCTACATTGTGCCAAGATCATGCCACTGCATTCCAGCCTGGGTGACAGAGCAAGACTGTCTCAAAAAAAAAAAAAAAAAAAAAAAAAAAAAAAAAAAAAAAAAAAAAAAAAAAAAAAAATATATATATATATATATATATATATATATTTACACACACACACACACATAAAAATTACAAATTAATAAAAAGGAGAAAGAAATCAGAATGTGTCAGGTTGTCAATGGAGAGATATGCTGAACCAACAGGGATTAAGGCTTGCTGGTTTATTTGAACATCAACTTGCAGTTTGACAGCACTGGTATGTAAAAGAGAACAGGGTTTTGCGAGTCAAGGATGCAAGTAGATGATCTGTGCCACTTCATGAAGAATGTGCTCTGCCATATTTAAACGCATGCGTTTGATCCTGTAAACCAGTAGTTTGGAACTGTGTGGACCAATACAAACATTTAATTGACAGAGTTTGTCAACTTTTCATTCTGCCAACTATGAACATCAAAAAATGTTTTAATTACTATTTAATGTGGTAATTATGTTATTAGTCAAAAAGTAAATACATGAATACATGAATAACAAAATAAAAATTCCTAGAGTTTAGAACTTATTTTTCTTTCCCCAAGAGCTCATTAATATTTTCTAAGAAAAATCAACACTAGTTCCCACAGCTGGATCGATGTAACGAAAAGCCACGAGCAATTTTAAGCAGTGGAGGGACATCATTAGATTGTATTTTAAGGAGATAACTTCTATCAACAGCATGAATTTTAAGAGTAAAAGTAGAAGCAACCCAAACTAGAGGACCCAGTTAAAAATTTATTCCGATGTCCAGGCAAAAAAGGGGTAAGGCTGAAACCCAGGGAGCAGTAATGGGAACAGAAAAGTGACAGACAGGGACAATATTTATGAGGCAGAACCAAGAGAGGCTGGTAACTAATTAGCTCTGAAGGGAGAAAAAGGAAGAGTGATTCTAGCTTGGGTGGCAAAGTTTCTTCCTATATAACAAAAAAAGTACTTGTTCACAAATGGGAGAAATCAGGTCTGGTGGAGAGTAGATAGATCAGCGCTGGGCAGGCTGAATTTGAAGTGGCTGTGGGGAATGCTGTGTGGGTACCCATGTCTGCAGGATAACAGTCTGAGAAACCGATATACAGAAGGTGCTAAGACAAGATGGACAAGATCATTGAATGTGAGTGAAAAAAGAGGACCCAATGGCTTTAATCCTTCCCCCAACAAATATTTACCAGGTTCCTGCTATAAGCCAGCCATTCTTCTAGGTGCTGTGAGCACAAAGAGTCCTCGCCCCCACAGAAGAAGGAGTACCACTGACCTTACATGTTGAAGGGATTCCTCTGCTTTGTTGAGAACAGACTGTAGAAGGGCAAGAGCAGAGGCAAGGAGAGAGAGGGGTAGAGACAATTATCTCTGCTAGAAATGGTGGTGGCTTGGATTAAGGTGGTACAGAAAGAAACTGTTAAAAGGGCAACAAAACTGTGAACATATTTTGAAGGTAGAGTTGAGAGGATCTGCTAATGAAGGGATGTGAAGTTTGAGCAAAATAAACTAATTACCTACAGTATTAGGTAATTACCTACAAGCTCTCAGGTCTGACAAGCTGGAATGTTGCCGCTGCCCTTTACTGAGAATGGGAAGATCCAGGAGAAGGTTGGGAGGACTAAAGCAAAGCTTAATTTTGAATTCATTCAAACTGAGATTCCTAGTTGATATCTAAACGGATATGCAAGTAAATAGAAATATGAGTCCAGAGTTCAGAAGAAAAGTCCAGGGTGGAGGTAGAAAGGAAGATTGGAGGCCTAGAGATCATCATTTGTGGGGAAAATAATGCAGGGACATTAACTGAAACTAGGAAGGAACAGTGGGGAAGGAGGAAATAGAAAGAGGGGCCAGGCATGGTGGCTCAGGCCTACAACCTCAGCACTCTGAAAGGTTGACAAGGGAGGGCTGCTTGAAGCCATGACTTCCAGATAAGCCCGGGCAATGTAGTGAGACCTTGTCTTCACAAAATATAAACAAAATTAGCTGGGCTTACTGGTGTGTGCCTGTGGTCCCAGCTTCTCAGGGAGCTGAGGTGGGAAGGCTGCCTGAGACTGGGAGGTGGAGGCTGCAGTGAGCTGTGATGGTGCCACTGCACTCTAGCCTGGGCAATAGAGTGAGATCCTATCTCAAAAAAGAAAAAAAAAAAAGAAGGAGAAATAGAAACAGGAGTGGGTGCCCTCACAGAAACAGGAGACTGCTTCAATGACCAAGTGATGAACACATTCAAATAAGTCAAAAAGTGACATTAGTAGAAGCTTGGCAATACCCTCAAGTAAGACAAATAAAACCTATTTCTTCAAAACAGGAAAAGCAGAAAGAAAGATTAGTAAGGAGTGAGACGATTACATAGGTGTGTACAAGAAGCTAAAAGGGTAACTTCTGGTGGCCTCCATTTTCTCTGTGATAAAGGAGAAAAGGTCACCAGTAAGAGAGACCTTTGAGGGTATCCAGATGATGTCTGAGAAAGAGGAAAAATGTTTTTTTAAATCCTGCTGAAAGCCAAGAAAAAGAGACTGAAAAATATCAAAAATGTTTATAAAATTCGTAGTGACACAAAATATGTACTCATTTATTCTTTCATTCAGCATACATCCATATTTAATACCTATGTGCCAGGCACCATTCTCGGTTCTGAGGCAAGAGGAAAAGACAAGACAGGCAAGGCCCCTGTTCTTATACTGAGTTTCTATTCTGGTCTGAGAAGACAGACATAAATTAGTACACAGCTAAATACATGGCAAACAGCATTAAATGCCATGAAGAAAATCCTTTGGCTTCTAATGAGTTGGGTGGGATGAACACTTGGAGATGATTTCTTAAGTCACCTGCATGGTTACATGACTGAAGGCCAGCTGCTGAGGCCTGATGCCAGAGAAGAGGACGAGGAGGAATGAGTCATCACAAAGACTGAGGGCAAGTGCAGCCAGATGCTATGAGGGCCGTGGATAGAGACAAAGAGAGCAGCTCTAAGACTGCCAGTGGTGGCGGGTGAGGCCAGAAGCCAAGACAGAGAGGCCAGTAGAGCCACAGGGTACAATGCTAGGTGAGCACATCAGGTTTTAGGAACACCCCTATCTCAGTGTATTTGAATATTACCTACAAATCATTAATTAGGCAAAACACTATTTAAAAAGATGCGTCTCTGTCTACACTATTAGGAAGTACAAATACTTTAAGAGCAATCAAGAATTGGAATAAAAATGTAAACTAAGTAACTAAAAAAGATTCAAGCTACACAGGCTTTTGGAAACACATCTTTTGTAATATCACTTACGTTCACGATTGTTTCTAGAATATTATGATTTGCTCTAATAAACTTGAAACTTCTACAGTAAACACAGGAATTACCTTATCAATATCTTCCTCTTCGTCTTCCTCTTCTTCCTCTTCTGAAAAGTCAAGAAGTTTCTTTGCTAGCAACGGATGCCACTGAAGACACTTTCGTTTTGGTCGTTTTCCAGCACCTTCTCCTTCTGCTGAATGATCCTTATTTCTATTACTGCCTTTCATTACTGTGACCTGTAGTAGGAAGAAAGAGAGAAACAGGGAGACAGAGACACTGAGTAAATCAAAGCAGATTTGATTAAAATTAGCTTATTTAGCTCCCTTAGCATTAATTAGATTATAATATTAATGACTAAACTATTTACCAGCTCATTTACTAGACTCAGTGAGAATCCAAAATACATAATGAAACATTCATTTTAGTGGGCTAAATTGAGCTAATAAAATGTGCCTTTTGTGAAATCTACTTCCTTCCACTCCATAGCTTCAGTAAGCTTAAGGATGCTACCAGTTACCTTCCCTTGTGTTTATTTACTCAGGGAAGTGTTCCTCAGTTTCTCATCAGAATAGTATGAAGGATGCCTCCCAAAAGAGTTGAAGAATTCACAGGGGTTGCCCCCCAGGCATTCTCTGATGGCTGTTTTACTGTAACAATTTACATGAATTTTGCATTCTATGCCTTGTTAAATCTGTGCTTATAATATTACTAAATAAAATAAGTACTTTGTAAGAATCCAATGTTGTAGGTTTAGGCAGTTGGCTGAGCTAAGAAATGGTCAAGCTATGAACATGAAAAAATTTTTTAGAACCCTAGAATTCTGAATGACTTTTCAATGATGTAAAAAAAAAAAAGTTCTTCCCCATGATAAAAGCAACACATATTTCTATTAAACAGGTGAAAATAGCATAAAAATGAGGTTTGCCCTCTCCATCACGCCCCGCACCATGGTCCAGAGGTAACTTGCATGTTAGTTTCTTGTATGTTTTCTCACAACTTTTTTTCTGATGTTACTTCTCTTTCATTCATTCATTCAAAGTAATGTTAAAATACAGATTATTGTCATCGAAAAATTCAAACAACAAAATCAAATGCCATCGATTTAAATGGTTCATGAATGGTGACAATACAAACACAAGTGCAGTTGTTAGAATCACCAGGTAGCAGCCTATTTGCTCAGCGTATGTTTGCATTGGTCCAAATACCTGAGAAGTGGTACCATTAAACTTTTCATGCCATGTTAAAATAGAAACTGGGATTGATGAATACGTAATATAAAGATTCATCTAGTTCTCAAGCCGTTCAGAGAATATGGTATAGGCAAATTTGCCTGTCCTGCTTGTTTCTGGATTCTGAGCCATGCCTAGGTCTTCCTTACTTCAAAAAAAAAATACCAATGTTTTCTCCTAGAACTTGTACAGCTTCAGCTTAAACATTTAAATATTTGATCAATCTGGAATTCATTTTGATAAAAGAAGTGAAGTAAGGATTGAGCTTATTCTTTTTAAAAAAATAGCTAGCCAACTATACCAATATCATTTATTAAATAATCTACCTTTACACTATTCCTTTTATCCTACATTAAATTATCACATGTATATGAGTCTATTTCTGGATTCTCTTCTGTTAATAACCTCCCTCTAACTGCTTGCCTATCCTTGACCAATTTCAATGTCCTATATCAATCTACATCTTTTTAAATATACAAATATATCAATAAACACAGCCATTTAAAAAATTCAAGTTGCATATATCATACTCTTCTATCTAGGTCAATACATGTTGATTGTTCTCATTTTAAAATAACTGTGTAATAGTCTAAAATACGAAAGTATCACAATTTACTGAGTCTAATATTGATAAAGAGATTACTTCTTGTGCTACAACAAAATGAGGCTTCTTGTGCCTCACTGTAATAATGTTCTAGAAAATCTTCATTTTTAATAAAAGTTCTCATTAATTTATTAAAAGTTATATCCAGTCAAGAAAAAGAAACGAGGAAAAGAAAAATATGTTCCTATGGCTTTCTTAGCAAGAAACTCACGCCGGAATATCTGAAGCAATTACATGACTTGCATGGCTAACTAAAGAATATAAGAAGTTATTGAAAACTAAATGGAATTAGGTATCTGATGTGCCCTTCATAAGAGAAGAAACATATCTTGTGAACTGACAGACCATTTAACAATTCCCATTCTACCTACAAATAAAAGTTGGCACAGGCAACCCAGTTTCCAAAAATGCCAATGCTATACAGAGAGAAGAGGAAATGGTTGTTTCTGTGGCATATTAACCACTTCAGGATGAGTTGCCTGAGTGGTAGTTAAACCCATTTGAGGGTCTAATATTTTCAACAGTAAAATAAATCAGTGGGAAACTGCAAATAAGGCAGCTTCTATCAACTGTAGAAAGTAAAGTGATTGCCAATGCCTAGAGAAAAACATATCTTCAGTCCCAAGAATTTTGAATTACATTGTTATTTAATTATGTGTGAATGTATATACGTGTGTATATGCGTGCACCTTTGTGTATATACATGTAATTTCAACATTCAAAGAGAAAACAGGATCTCAAGACTCAAATTAATGAGGGGTATATATGGCTTCCTTCTGGGTTCAAAATAATTGCATTTAGTCCTCTCTCACTTCTAATTCTTTCCAGGTAGCTCACATACAACTTTGGAGAAAATGTCTTTTCTGATACTCCAGAAATTAATCTTTCTCACCCAGAAATACATTAGAAAGACTTTACATTGCTAATGCACTTACCTAATTTTCCCTTGAATTATAATTATTTGGATACATCATACCTCCACTGCCAGGCCTTTTAATGGTCCAAGACTATACTTATATGCTCAGAAACATCCTGGCACATCAGATCATCAAGATCAGTTAATTGTGAGGATTGTCACAAACAATGACACAAACTCCTTTGCCAAATTGTAATGATGATTCACTATATTCTCTAGGATAGCTTCAAGATTAACTATAATTTCTTATACTTTCCTGAATTCAGATATTCTTTTCTAAGTGGGAAAGCAAGGGAATTGAAAACTGTGCACAACCCAGACAGACAGACCAAGGTGGCATGTGATGTCTGAGAACCACCAGATGCATAGGCTTGGGGAGCAATCAGGCTGGCAACCCCCAGGCACGGGGCCTGGAGCAAGGTAGGTACATTTTTAGCATGTACAAAAGATGAATAAAAGAGAAAGTGAATTGGAAATGGTATACTGCAAATGAAATAATCAAGAAAAGTGTACTGTAATTGATCTAACAACCATGAAATACCTCAAGGTATAAACTGGGTACTTTAATAATTTATAGTTACCTAATTCTTTCCTACTTCACTATGGATGTATTTTCAAACGATTGAAAGAAGGCGAAACAGTGAATGGAAATGATGATCCTGACTGTGATTCAGAAGTAATGAGAAAGCAGGAGAGAAAAATTTTAAAAAGACGAAAAAAGTGGGAAAGACAAGGGCAAAGAAAGCATAATTTTGAGACAATGTTATCACTCATCTGACTTCAACGATGAGGAGGAGATAAAATTGTTAATTTTTGAAGTGACAGAGGACTAATCTTCTAATTATTTTGCCACTAAAAAGCCCACACATTTTAAAGTTTGGTTTCTTGTTCTTAGAACAGGAGTGAATTAACAATCTATATGCAGTAAATGAAACAATTGTTGGACTTTATTCAAAAAGGGCGATTCTTCCATTCTGTACTGCAACTCTAGAATAATTGAAATCAGGTTATTTAACTATCAATGGACTCTGTACCTTAAAAACTAAATACCATCAAATTATGATGCTGAGACTGTCAAATGATGATATAAAGCCCCCTACCAACATTTATCTTATGAAAACAAACCAACCCACGTTTGTCCCCCGTGCCCCCTTTCTATGGCAGGATAAGTGACCCTAAATAGACATTCACTGTACTGAATTCATTGTAAATTGACAAATTAGGAAAAACTTCATTTAACTATATTCTTCAAATGTAACAAGCCCAGGCTGGGAGCAGTGGCTCATGCCTGTAATCCCAGCACTTAGAGAGGCTAAGATGGGTGGATCACGACGTCAAGAAATCAACATTATCCTGACCATCATGGTGAAAACCCCATCTCTGCCGAAAATACAAAAATTAGCTAGGCATGGTGGCATGTGCCTGTAGTCCCAGCTACTTGGGAGGCTGAGGCAGGAGAACTGCTTGAACCCAAAAGGTGGAGTTTGCAGTGAGCCAAGATTGTGCTACTGCACTCCGGCCTGGTGACAGAGTGAGACTCCATCTCAAAAAAAAAAAAAAAATTAAAAAATGTAGCAAGCCCATTCATGAAGACCTTTATTGAGGTCAGAAAAAAGAAGAAAGACGGTAGAAGGAATCAGTACAAAGCAAATGCCATATTTATTAAAAGAAAGAAAAAAGGACACTGGAGGCTGATAGGCCTCCTTTAGAATCCTGCCTCTACCACAAACTACTTGTTGGAAAGTTAATAGCTGTGCTGATCTTTCCTCATGTTAAAACTAAATAATAATAGCTCTACTGTGAGAATATCCAGCACAGTGTCTAGAAGATTCTCGTTCACTGTTGGTATATTCCCCCTTTATTCACAGGCTTTCTAGACTGGGGAGCATGGGTTTACCAGGCAGCATCTGCTCCCTTAAACTAATCCTAAGATGCTATCAAAAGGGAGCACAGATGTCTCCCACTTGATAGTGGTCCATATAATAGAATCTGCAGCCTCAGAAACTGAAAAACAAAGATGGACGGTTTCCTTTCCTTTGTCTGAATGACACGCAGTCAGAAACTGTGCCTTGGCACAGTCGTAAATTTTGTGAATAAGATCCTCTTGTCTATTGTCTTGTCTTACAATTTAGGCAATCAGTTACACTTCAATCTTAAAACATTAGCATACATTAAACTGTGTTACATTGGTATTTTAAACTGTTTCCTAAAAGTCCAATGAAATCTCACTCAAATCCTGGTCAATGAAACTCATACCCAGTGAAATGGGAGAGTATGGAAGGCCCATTAAATACTACTGCTAGGCAACTACATATTCTAACAACAAACAGGGCCTTTTCTGGGTCCAGCGAAGACTACAAAACTTCACAGCCTTCTCCAGTCTATGGAGAAGAGGAAAAAACAGCCCAAAGATGCTGTAACATAGTGGAAACTCTAGTACTTCCACACAAATTGGACCCACCTGCTTTTATTCTTTCTAAAGATTCCTCAGATTTTCAAGTCACACCTTGCTTTCAATCTTTCAAGGGGTCCTGCTGCCACAGAAGAAAGCAAATACTCCAAATCTGAAGCCTTCCTCTTTCTCACCTTAAAAGTCTCTTGTGTTCTCTTAAAGTCCTTCTCATCCACCAAGACCCAGGTCAAATATCTCTTATCAGAAAGCCCTAAGTCAGTCCATCACTCTGCTATGAGCTTTCATTGTACTTGACTTTGTTAGGTCAAGCACTTACCACAGTGTTTTGAGAACTCCCCTCCACACTACTTTGATTGAAATGTGTCCTCTAAAGTTAATCCCCAGTGCAACAGTGTTGGGAGGTAGGGCCCAATAAGAGGTGATGAGGTGACGGGGGCTCTGCCTGCATGAATAGAGTAATGTGATGTGGGAGTGAATTAGTCATCACTAGCATGGGTTTGTTATTAAAGCAAGTTTGGCCCCCTCTTCCTCTCACCCTCTCTTTCTCTTCTGCCATGGAATGACTCAGAACAAAAGCCTTCCCAAATATTGGCTGCATGCTCTTGTACTTCCCAGCCTCCAGAACTGTGAGCCAAATAAACGTTTTGTTCATTATAAATTACCCAGTTTGTGGTATTGTTATAACATCATAAAATGGACTAAGGCATCCCCACGTCTCACAAAAGGTTGTGGCCTTCAGAGTGCAGGTACCATTGCTACCTTTTCTGTCTTAGTGCCTAGCACAGAGCCCACTACACAGTAGTTTCTGAAATGGTACTTATTGGCTTATAATTTCCTCATCTAATACTTAACCACACACAACTTCTCAGAATGACACGCTCCTAAATTTAAAAAAAAATACTAACATGCAACATTTATTAAATATTTAATTGCTACTTATTTACTTTCTCATTTAATCCTCACAAAACACTCTGATGCAGTTACTATGATGACTTCCATTTGAAGAAACAGGATTAAGTAACTTGCCCAAGGTAACACAGCAAGTAGAGGAGCTGGGTCTGGACCCAGGAAACCTAGCTCCAAGAGCCCAAACGCTTACTTAGGAAAAAGAGCTCTAATATAAAGCTCCTCAATCTGCTAACTCGCTAAGTATTTCCTGTAGAACAAACAGCTCATAGGCCATGAAAATACCAAAAGGAAGCATGAAGGGGCTAGTAAGGGAATACTGCTTTTCATGGCAGAAAAGCAAGTATACATCTCTGACTATGTCAAGTGACAATTAAATTAGATTAACTCTAAAACTCTTTGAAGATAAAAGCCCTACAAGTGCTAATCATTATTATTTATTGTAATTCTAATGACAATTCTAAACTGTAGACAGATTACATAAAAAATATCTCATTCAATAAAGTAATACTCTCATTTTAGAAGCAATTCACTCACTATTCATGCAAAAAGTGTCTTTAAATATGCTCCTTATTGAAAAGCAGTAGCTCTTCAAGTTGAAACTAACTCTGTCAAGATGTTATCAATATGCTCTTCATGAATACTAATAAGGCACCCACTATTCAAAGAAGGGCTTAGCTGAACTGGCAGTTCTGGTCCCTCTGCCTTTAACTCATAAAGAAATATGTATTTTTAAGATCACTAACACCTACAATCCATGACACTTAGCCTTGGGACGGCTTAACATGGTTCTCAAATGGAATGCTGCTCTAGGCTACAAACAGAGACAAAATCTACCTTGAAAGAGATAAGGCACCAAAAGAGGTGACTTGAGGAAAAGCTATATACAGAGAGGAGTCAGCAGCAAGCTAGGACATGTTCCCCACCACACCTTCCAACAAATGCAACCTTCTGTTTTCCTAGAATTTTTTGGAGGTGTTTACATTCTTAATCAAAAAGCCACCAAATTTCCATTTTTTCCACAGACCTATCAAAAAAGTATTTTCTCTTTTAGTTTATAAATTCACAAAGGTTTTTATTATATGTACTTATTACATGGCTAGGACATAATGATCATATTGACAAGAAGCTGAAACACAAGAAGATAAGCTCATGTGTGTCTCTTCCTCCTTTACTCTCAATGCAGCTGAACACATATTTATTGATCACCCGCTGAGTCATGCTCTGTAAGGGTTAAGTGTCCAGCCTTACCTCCCATTCAACTCACCTCCTGCTGGGCTGGTGTCTGCCCTGCTTTCCACACCTGCCACATGCTTCTGCGTAGTCCTTTCTCTGCTCTCCCAGGCCTGCACACCGTCCCCCACACCCCCATTCTCCCTCTCTATGCAAGGCCTCTCTGAACACCCATTTCTAAAAAGCTGTGTTTGCCTCAGCTCATGTCTCTCTCCTTTCTGAGCACCTTTTTTGATCACTGCAACACTTAATGGCTGTGCCATAATTTTTGACACTTGATTGTACGACAATTATCATTTTCCTGTACAATGTATGTATAATGATTTCATGTGAATTCCTCCCACAGAGACCCTTGAGGGTAATGAACATGCCAGATGCTTTTTTTGGATCTGTCAGAGCAAAGATCTTTGTGCTAGACAGGGAATAGATGTTCAGTGAATATGTGGAGAATTGAACATAGAAACAATACTTTTTTGCTTTCTTATTATGCCTTTCTTTATGTTGCTTTGCTACAAGGCAGAAGGGACATAAGGCTTGAAAAGAAATACGCAGCAAAGAAGAAATAAGCAGCCAGGAAAGGTTGTTTGGAAGGGAAAGGAGAGAAAAAAGAAACAAGTAAATTGACAAGGCAATGTAATAAATAGAATAAAATCAAAGTCACTTCCAAACAGCTGTCTGAAACATGTTCCTTTATTCCCTTCTCTGGTTATTTGTCAATGACTTTCCTTATTCTCTCAAAATAGAGTACTACTGTACCTTCAGCTCACTGGCTCTCTTATTCTTTCACAAATGGTCCAGTAATAAACCCTAACTCTAAACTTACCCAACCATTCTTCTTCTCAGGTCTATCCCCAGGTTTCTGGCTGCTCCTGTTTCTGACCTTACTACAAAAGTTTGCAATCTCAGGTTGGTCTTAAGTGCTTTTTTACTGGTCCTTTGTTTTATCCTTTTTACTTGTCTTATTCAGTTACATAGTCAATGCCACAGTGCCCATTATAAATTCTGTTTCTCAACTCCTACTGATGACAGTGAGCGAGGATAAATGATGACAATGCTAGCTAGACCTATATAATGCTTCGTACGCACCAGAGCTAAGAGACTATATTTATTAACTCTCTTAACTTATGATAAGCCTAAGAGGTAGGTACCATTATCCCCTCTTTTACAGATGAGAAAACTGAGGCAAATATAACATATTTTACCTCTTTCAGCTTATAAATTAACAAAGGTTTTTCCTATATCCATTTGTCACATGGGTAGAAGTAAGTATCACATTGGCAAGAACTGGATGCACAGGAAGACAAGCTCATGGAGTCTCCATATTTACTGTCAATGCAGTTGGATACATATTTACTGATCACTTGGTGAGCTATGAATTATGTTTATAAATCACACTACTAGCATGTAATTGGTGAAGCGAGTATTTGAACTCAGGAGGTCTGAGTTCAGAGTCTGGTTTTTGACCATTATATAATATTGCTTCATCATCATAAATTTTATTGAACATTTGCTACATGCTGAACACTTTACAATAATTAATTTCTTTAACCCTTAATACGACTCTAGGTGGAAGATAAGACAATGAATACATTTTAAGTATAAAGCAAGAAGGACAAACCTTAAGCAGCATGCCCAAGGCCACTCTGCCAGCACATGATGGGGCAAGGGCTGAAAACAAGGTCTCCCGCTCCCTAGAGCCTCAGCTTTCAATCATGTACCCATACTGCCCTTGCCCATGACCCGCAATCCTTGTCACTCTAAGAAAATATCTTTGCTTCCTGGTTAAACTTGCAGGAAGGTGTTAACTTTCCTGGACCCTCCCAAATTCTCGTCTTGCCTACCAATTTCAAAATTTCTTTTCTTCTTCTGTTTTCTTTCAAAGGTAGAGATATAAGGTCAACTCCTTCCCTCACCTTACCCCCAATCTATATGTTTCCCTCCTGTTATCCTGAGCCATTAGTCTTTCAGTTACTTTGATGGAACTGTCAATAGTTAATTCTGTTCCTTCAGTCTATGCACAATCTCAAGTTTAAAGACCTCCCTGAATTCTCACCCTCCTTTAGTCCTTTTTCTTTGAACAAACTGGCCTCTAGCCCTCAGGCTACAGGACTGCCTAACATAACTATGACCCAAGAACCAGCCTGCTCGGTACTGTCATTGGTTCACAGCCCCCACGCCCCATGATGTGCTTTACTAAGTGACCTGGTTCCTAATATTCTTGCTTCTAAACCTCAGGATTCGTTTCCTGGAAAGAACTTACAACTTGTTCTAACTTCGCTATCACCTCTGGCTTCTCTGTCTCACTATGATTCACATGTCATTGATTTCTATCCTCTCAGAGAAAACATCTTGTCTGGGCCAGGCCTCTGCCTCCACCATACCCTTGTGGAGTTATGTCAGAGCCCGGGGAACAGAAACTAGACATCCCTTCTCTTCACATAAGCATCTGGAAAGCATATCTTTCTTTACAACTTTGTTTCCATAAGCTGAAATCACTGCAATTAACTGTTTACCCTGACATCTAACCTCCCAAAGTTCTATCCCTTCTACCTCTTAAAAGAGTCCACTCCTCTCCAGCCCCACTAGGCTGGTTCAGTTGTCTGACCCTCTTACCTATAGCTCTGCTAACTTTAATTCTCCACACAACAAATATCTGCTCATGTCCTTCTCCTAAAGGGAGTCTCTTTAATAGTCCCTCAATGTACTAAGGAAAAACTCCAGACTCCTTCCTTCACACAAACATGTAAGATTCTTCTTGACCTAGTCCAGCTTGCCTTTACAGCTGATGTTTCTTTGCTCCATTCTCACTCAAAGTTCTACCCATACTGAGCCACACCATCACCTGCAGCTTGCCATGCACTCCTGCCTCCTGGAACCTGACTGCTGTTTCCTTCCGGTGGAACTCTCATCCCTGCTTCAGGGCTTAGCTTGAATCTCACCTCATGCCCCTTTTGGTCCTTTCAAGTCTGAGAGAGGTGTCTCCACAGCACCCTACACGATAGGCTACACTGAAATGGCCTGTTTCCTTCTTTATATCACACTCAACTGTGACAGAGAACAGGGGCTGAACCATGTTCACCATGATGGATCTCCAAGGCCTGACACAGAGCCGGGCACACTGCAGGCAAATAAATACTTGTTGAATGAATGAGTTCTAGGACTGTTCCCTGAAGTCCATTCCTCTTGCACCTAGTCCTTCCCTTGTTCACTATCCTTTTCTACTCCATCCTTGCCACACCCTGCTCTGTGACCCTCCATTTCAGAAATTCCTAACAATTACTCAAATAGCATACTCAAACTGCCAAACTAAAATACGTAGTGATTGTATTTACTTAGAACCAGTTTTTATGCAACAGATCCGAAGAGAGAAAAAATGACTATTTGTAATTTTGACATGTCATGTGGTCCCAGCTATTTAGGAGGCTGAGGTGGGAGAATCTGGAGCCCAGGAGCCAGGAGGTAGAGGCTACAGTGAGCTGTGATCGTGCCACTGCACTTCACTCTGGGTAACAGAGTGAGACTCTTCCTCAAAAAAAAAAAAAAAAAAGTCACCAAAGCAAGAATATAAAGAACTGGTTTTAATATGACCCGAACTTCCTTCCTCTAATTTTCTTCTCAATGCACAGTACAAGAATACTGTAAACCAATACCCACAAGATATACTTTTACTCAGACTATTTTCCTTACAGTCCAATTTACGTAAGTCTGCTCCCTCTGCTGGCCAAATTTTATCATCTAGCATCCTATTTAAATATAAAGGTAATGCTTTATAATACCAAAAAAAGCTCCTCTGTAAAATAATCATTACCACATAAGCCTGGGAAATCACTTAAGAAGCTCTTTTACATCATTAAGTCACTGTGTTTGTTGATTTCCGGGAGACGTAACCAGCCACATGTTGAGTTAAACCCAGGACTTTTCAAATTTAATATCATTTTTCCCCTAAGCAAGATTCTGAACTCTGCTAAAAACCATTTCTCATTAATTTAATCCATTGCTAACTGGAATCTCCAACGGACTTTGTGATAAATGTCCAACCAAGCATTTCCATATTCACACAATGGCATTATGTTGTCGGGGTGAGGGGAGACCAAGATGGAGAGAATGCTTTCATTTAGTAATTTATCAGGCCACAAGAGTTAGGGGCAGAATACAGGACCAACGACAGGGATTATATGCTACCAGTGAGCCCATGATGCTTTTAATTTTTTTCAAAGACAGATTATAATATGATAATAAAGTCATTGTTCTGACATATTTAATTCTGTTTTATTTTTTATGATAAAGCACTTTATAAGATACAGCTTGAGTACATTTCATTAGTAAGTTCCGAATATATTTTCTTATACAAAAAGCTAGCACTGCCATTAAAAACCCCTAGGCGGTATACCTTATTGGCTGCTTTCCAATTATGTACCACTTTATAACTTACAAAGCCTTTACTGAACATATTTACTCAATATTGTAAAATCCCACAAAATGGGTATAATTATGCTCATTTTACAGCTGAGTGACAGAAGCCTCAGAGAGATTTACGTAATCTTTATAATGTCATTAAGGAGCAAACTAGAAACACAGCCTATAAAGGCTCTGGACTTTACACAGAGGAACTTTCTTCCATCTGATTGTATCACTGATTTTAGTTTTTAATCAATATATTTACTTTGGGAGGAGAAGTAATTCCATTTTATAAGCCTTGTTGGTATTTCATTCATGTCTCTCAGTATTTACTTTAGGGGAATCCCAAACTTCCATTTGTATCTCAAAACACTCTTCCACATAGATTTAATCATACTAAATACACTGAGGGAAGGAGGGAATCGGAACAGCACATGTCTGTCATGCAGTGTACTTGTATTTTGTAAATATTGATGTTGCAGCTCTTAAAGTACTCTCAGAAGTCGTTATGACTGACAGCCCATGAGTGCTGCATCTTTCAAAACAAATATGCTTTCCTGATGGAGAGCACATGCATCTCCATCTAATTTTTCTGAGAGGCAGAGGTGGAACAAACATTTCCTAACATTTTAACTAAATTCAGCATTCTTCACTGAACACAATAGACAGGTTACATCTTAATAGATATTATGAAAGCTTGTCATTTCCATAAGCAACACAGCATGTAAGGGAAGGGCGCTCTACAAACCTCCCCTATAATCTCAGAGTAGCATACAACTTCCTGTGCTTATTGTAAATATTTTTAAGTACAAGCAAAAATTCAAAAGACATTTTGTACCAAAAAAAGGTCTTCATAAATGTCCAAGTATTGCTAGATTTAAAAAAATGTACCATTAGATGGCTTAAGAATAAAAGTAAGTTTAGGCAAAAGTTTGAAAAAGAACCAAGTGGAGTAAATAAAATATACTTGATCACCCTGATTCAAGGGTGGAAAAATAAAGAAAACCTGTCATTGTCTGCTGTGTACCAAAAATCAAAATCTAACACCAAACATCAGACACGTTTTATATCTTACTACAGCTTCTCTTGAACTGAAAGGTAAGGCTCATTGAGGAGTCAAAGGAGAATTCTGCTTGCTGAGCTCTCCCAGCCATTTGCTTTGATGATTGCTAAAAATCTGTACTAAAAGGTGGGCAAATTGTTTCTATAGCTCTTATATAACTCCTCTAGGGAGACCTTCTGATGCCAAATCAACCTTTTGAGGACCTATTCATGAACTAGCGTTAAGAGAGATGACAGTGATTATAAAATATGAGTCAAAACAATAAAGAACTTGGTGGTGAGATAAAACCTATATAATAATGAAACCATCTGGGAACTAGGCAGCAGGTAATAGAGTGCATAAAATGTGGCCCAAACCATTAGGGAATAGATAATATATAATACTTTAACATTCTTGGCATTGGACACTTGGCAATTATAAAAGCCATTGTAGAATTCAGATAATTCTCTTTACTTCCTCTGATGATTCCAATTTGTCCCATTATTAACCCTTTAACTAATGGCTAAATTTATCCACACTGCCAAAGACACCGTCAAGAATGAATCCCAGGTTCCCCCAAGAGCTTCCTGCCACTGCAAACTTTGCTAACTGTGACCTGGATTCTCTTACTTTGGGCATCAACAATACAATGAGAAAAGTCTGAAAATAACTGCTCAGTTATTTGTTGTGCTATTATTTAGGACTGGGGTAGGTCCAGGAACTTTCCAAGGGATGTGATTGCTGAAAATGACTCAGGTGACTGGCCATTTCTGGAATCTCAGGCTTGACCTAGGAAGAACTGGCTGGCCCTTTATAGAAAAATATTGCTGAAGGGAGAACAGAATTGGAATTTTGTTGGCATTCATACAGAAATGGTCAAAGACAATCTGGGAACAGATGTAAAGTATAAATAACATTTTGTACTTTTTTTTTTTTTTTTGACTTTTGCTCTTGTCTCCCAGGCTGGAGAATAGTGGTACGATCTTGCCTCACTGCAACCTCAGCCTCCTGGGTTCAAGTGATTTTCCTGCCTCAGCCTCCCGAGTAACTGAGATTACAGGTGTGTGCCACCACGCCCAGCTAATTTTTGTATTTTTAGTAGAGACAAGGTTTCACCATGTTGGCCAAGCTGGTCTTGAACTTCTTACCCCAGGTGATTTGCCCACCTAGGGCTCCCAAAGTGCTGGGATTACAGGCATAAGCCACCATGCCCAGCCCACTTGATACTTTTCATATTCATTTCTGTGGCTTGTAGAGTACTTTTTTGCATGTCGAACTATAGGACCAATAATGGTATTAGACAGAGTGAAAATGACCAGTGTCTAGTCTTGGCTTTCACATCACAAAAGGAAAAACAGATTCAATGTCAGGCCAGTTCAAGGACAAAATTAGCAACTGATGAAGTTGAAAAACTGTGGAAGGTCTTCATGCATCAGAAAGTTGGGCTAGATGACCATGAAGGCCTGTTATTACCACTGCACGCCATGATTTTACCTCCTTATCTCCAGCAGGGGCCAGGCTGTCCTGCAGTCCCCACTTCCCTGTCCATAAGTTCTCCATTTCCCTCTCTGAATTCTCTACCAGAAAAATAAAGACACAATAAATCAGCTTTGCAGGCCTTCACCTAGCCTGTACACTTGTTAAAAATGGCAGCAACAACAACAAACACAACAAAACTTAACTGTATAGATAAGTCTTTTTTTTTTTTTTTTTTTTTGGAGACGGAGTTTCGCTCTTGTTACCCAGGCTGGGAGTGCAATGGCGCGATCTCGGCTCACCGCAACCTCCGCCTCCTGGGTTCAAGCAATTCTCCTGCCTCAGCCTCCTGAGTAGCTGGGACTACAGGCACGCGCCACCATGCCCAGCTAATTTTTTTGTAGTTTTAGTAGAGACGGGGTTTCACCATGTTGACCAGGATGGTCTCGATCTCTTGACCTCGTGATCCATCCGCCTCGGCCTCCCAAAGTGCTGGGATTACAGGCTTGAGCCACCGCGCCCGGCCAGATGAGTCTTAAGAAAAATTATAACAGCTGTTTTGTGTATATGTCCCACTCCCTGGTTTTCCTACAGTTTATGCAAACTGTCCCCCATTATTAACACTGAATTCTATGATTTGAAAATTGGCTTAAAAGTGAATTTAGTATGCCATCACTAAGTTGTTTTTTAACTTCTGACATTTTAAACATTTCTGATGTGCTTTCTTAGAATTCTGTATTAAGGAAAAAATAACTTTTCTGACAGTTTAATAAGACTTCCCAAGATTTATTTTAAAAGTATATTGAAAATTTTTTTTTTCCTTAAATAAAGTCAATTTCGGGCCGGCGCAGTGGCTCACGCCTATAATTCCAGCTCTTTGGGAGGCCGAGAGGGGCGGATCACAAGGTCAGGAGCTGGAAACCAGCCTGGCCAAATGAAACCATCTCTACTAAAAATACAAACATTAGCTGGGTGTGGTGGCACGCACCTCTAGTCCCAGCTATCTGGGAGGCTGAGGCAGAAGAATCACTTGAACCTGGGAGGTGGTCGCAGTGAGCTGAGATTGTGCCACTGCACTCTAGCCTGAGTGACAGAGAGAAAGAGTCACAAAAAAAAAAAAAAGTCAATTTGTAACGTCCTCAAAGCAAAGTCATAGAGGCCCTTAATAAGTAGAAATCTTTTACTTTATACATAATTCAGTGCATTATTTATTATGGAGATGTCAAACTTTCAGAAATCATGAGATTCAGGCCTTTAACAGGTTGGTTAGGATTAAACCACTTGAACCGTACTTTTGCATTTATTCAGAATCTGAAGCAAAACTGCCTGTGACACTGGAAAATGTGAATACCACAACTGTCTACAGCTTGGACAAGTAATAAATGTAGCCAAATTTCGGCCTTTCAATTCTGCGCCTCCTCACAACAATCCAAACTCAAGAGAAGAACTGGCTGAAACACTGAGGAGCTCCTGTGCGACGGAAAAATCAATGGGGAGTTCA